ATGTACTTATAGCCCGTTTGGCATAGTTCCAAATTGCTCTCCAGAATGGTTGGATCAATTCACAATTCCACCCATAGTGCATTAGTGTCCTAATTTTCCTGCATCCCCTCCAACATTTATCATTTTCTTTTTCTGTGTTATTAGCAAATCTGATAGGTGTAATGTGGTACCTCAGAGCTGTTTTAATTTGTATTTCTCTAGTGAATAGTGATATAAAACTTTTTTCCCATATAAATATAGATAGCTTTGATTTCTTCATCTGAAAATTGCCTGTTCATATCTTTTGACCCTTAATCAGTTGGGGAATGACTTGTATTCTTATAAATTTGACTCAGTTCTCTATATATTTGAGAAATGAGGCCTTTTTCAGAGACACTGGCTATAAAAATATTTTCCCCAGCTTTCTGCTTTCCTTCTAATTTTGGATGCATTGGGTTTGTTTATGCAAAAACTTTTAAATTTTATGTAATAAATGCTTATTGTCTCAGGGAGGAGGCAGGGAGGGAAGGATAGTATTTGGAACCCATAATTAAAAAAAATCCAAATATTAAAAATATTATTTTAACATATAATTAGGGAAAAATAAAATACTATGTATTTAAATTTTTAATACAATCAAAATTACTCATTCATATCTTCTAGGTCACAAAATCTTCCCTTTTCCACAAATCTAACATATAGAGTATTCCTTGCTCTTCTAATTTGTTTATGGGTGTCTCCCTTTATGTTTACACCATGTACCCATTTTGACCTTGTCTTGGTATATGGTATAAGATATTGGTCTATACCTAGTTTCTGCCACACTGTTTTCCAGTTTTTTCAAATGATGAGTTCTTTTCCCCAAAGCTTGGGTCTTTGGATTATCAAACACTAGATTACTACAGTCATTTACAACAGTGTATTGTGTACTAAACTATTTCACTGATGTACCGCTCTATATCTTAGCCAGTACCAAGTTGATTTGATGATTACTTCTATATAATACACTTTGAGTTCTGGTATATCTAGGTTACCTTTCACACTTTTTTTTCATTAGTTCCCTTGATATGCTTGACATTTTGTTCTTCCAGATGAATTTTGTTATTGTTTTTCATAGCTCTATAAAATAAGTTTTGGTAGTTTGATTAGTAGGGAACTGAATAAGTAAATTAATTTTGGTAGGATTGTCATTTTTATTATATTGGCTCAGCCTATCCATGAACAATTGGTATTTTTCCAGTTGTTTAGATCTGACTGTATTTGTATCAAAAGTGTTTTGTAATTGTGTTTGTACAGTTCCTGGGTTTGTCTTGGCAAGTAGACTCCCAAGAATTTTATGTTGTCTACAGTTATTTTAAATGGAATTTCTTTATCTCTTCAAGGTCCATTTTTGTGAAAGTGCCATGCACAGCAGAGAGATAGGTATACTTTTATCTATTCCCATTCAATATTCTCCAAAGGTCTATCATATCTAACTTTTCTAATATTTTATTCATCTCCTTAGCTTCTTTCTTGTTTATTTTATGGTTGGATATAACTAGGACTTAGAGGAGTAAGATAACTAATTTAACTTTTCATTTGAGAATTTAGATGCTATGCCATTTGGTGCATATGTATTCAGTATTACTATTAATTGTTTATGATACCTTTTAGTAAAATGTAGTTTCCTTGTTTATCTCTTTTATTAGGTCTGTTTTTACTTCTGCTTTGCCAGAGATCGTAATTGCCATGCCTGCCATTTTTAGATCAGATGAAACAAAATAGATTTTGCTCCTGCTCCTTATTTTAACTCTATGTATATTTTTCTGTTTCAAGAGTATTTCTTATAAACAACATATTGTTGGATTCTGGTTGGTGATCCATTCTGATATACTTTTCCTTTTTATGGAAGATCATTGTGAGTTCATCCCATTCATATTTACAGTTATGATTGCTAACTATGTATTTCTCTCCATCCTATTGTATTATACTTATCCTTCTCTTTTTTATACTTTTCTTCAAGAGTCTCTTGTGCTTCTGACAACTGCCTCCCTTAATCTACTCTCCCTATTATTTTCCCCACCCCTTTTTTTAACCTCTTTTGATCCTTCTTCCCTGTTGAGTAAGATTAATTTCTGTACCCAACTATGTGTGTATGTATTTCATCCCTTTTTGAACCAATTTAGATAGAGCAAGGTATAAATGTTGTCTCCTCTCTCCCCCATTGCTCATTCCATTGTATAAACTCTTCCTTGAATGCCCCAATTATGTGAGATAATATTCCCCATTCTTCCTCTCCCTTCCCTCCTCTCCTAGCACATTCCTTTCCCCCACCCTTCCATTTTTCTTTTGAGATCATCCAAAAATGATAAGGTCACCCTTAGGCCTTTTGTCTAATTAAACTCTTTCTAAGACTGCTGGTGATGATGAAGTTCTGAGGGGTTACATGTATCATCTCTCCATAAACAGCTTAACCTTGTTTAGCTCCTTAATTTTTTTATTCATTTTTTCCTTTTTATGCTTCTCTTGAGTTCTGCTTTGAATGTCAGATTTTCTATTTAGCCCTGATCTTTTCTTCAGGAATACTTGAAAGTCCTCTATTTCATTAAATATCTTTTTTTTCTCCTGTAGTATTATACTCAGTTTTGTTGGGTAGGTTATTCCTAGTTGTAATCCTAAATCTTTTGCATTTCAGAATGATCATATTCCTGGCTCTTCCTTTCTTTGAAGTAGTGACTACTAAACCTTTTGTGATCCTGACTGTGGCTCTGCAGTGCTTGAATTCTTTCTGGTTGCTTTGAGTATTTTCTTCTTGACCTGGGAGCTCTGGATTTTGATTGTAATATTTCTGGGAGTTTTCATTTGGAGCTTTCTTTCAGGAGGTGACTACTGGATTCTTTCAGTGTCTACTTTGTCCTCTAGTTCTAAGATATTTGGGTAGTTTTTCATCATAATTTTTGAAAAATGATATCTAGTCTCTTTTTTGTTCATGACTTTCAAGTTGTATAGTGATTTTTAAAATAGCTCTCTTCAGGCTGTTTTCCAGATCAGTTGTTTTTCAAATGATATAGTTTACATTTCTTTTCAGTCCTTTGACTTTGTTCCTTATTTCTTGATGGCTCATGGTGTCATTAGTTTCCATTTGTTCTGTTTTAATTTTCAAGGAGTTATTTTCTTCAATGAGGATTTTTATCTCTTATTTGGTTTAAAAAATAACTTTATCTCTTTTTTTAAACTCTTCTAGGAATCCTTAATGTGTTTGTGTCCAGTCTGCGTTTTTTTTGAGGTTGGACTTGTAAATGTTTTTAAGTCATTGTTTTCTTCTGTGTTTCTATCTTGAACCTCCTGTTAACATAGCAACTTCTTATGGTCCCACTCTTTTTTTGTTTGCTCATTCTTCCAGCCTATTTTTTTTTTAACTTTGGACTTTATGTTAGTGCTGGGGTTCTGTGCACTTCTGGGAGGAATATCTAACCTGAACTTCTCTCTTTTTATGTCCTTCTGCTGCCTTCACAGCTCTGTCTTAGGGCCTGCGAGTTTTCAGTGCTCTCAGAGTGGTGTAATGTGGGGAGAGGCCTGTTCACTGCTCTTCTGGTCTGATCTCTGAAAGTTCCTGACCCAGGTTAGGGTCTGTTGCCTTGTGTATGGTTGGCTTTCAGTAGAATGATGCTGGACACAGTTACTGTTAGCCCACAGGAGGTTCTGCAGGTACAGAGTGATTGAACTGCTGGTTCTCCTTTGGTTTGGGACATTCTTGCCCTGGTTATTCCATTGCAGGCTTATGTGCTGGGCCAAAGGTTAGAACTGGGTCACTACTCTGCTCCTGGGCTGAGAGCCACACAACTGCCTCTCTGTAATTTGTTCCTTGCTTAGTACACAGCTAGGGCCCCACTCACTGATGACCACTTCTCTCTACCCTGTATCTGTGACCTGGAACTGGGTAATGGGTGACAAAGCTACCAGATGGTACCTGTTGCTGCCCCAGTGCTAGTTCAGGAGTTTCCTGGAATCTCTTTCTGCCCCAGGGCTTCCTGGGCTGGTGCTCAGTCCCTGGATGTTAGAATGCTCCAGCTATGTGCTGCCTTTGCCTCTGCCTCTGTGCTGCTTTCCTGGCCAACCCCAATCCCAGTGTCTGCAGACCTCTCTGACCTCTTAAGCTGCTTTGGGTTGGAAAAATGACTCACCAAAAATGCTTCCTGTCACTCTATTTTTGGACATTGCTTTTGACTCCATCCTGCCATTTTGACTCCATCCTAAGGCCTCCCTTTCCTGATACCTTGGGGCTACTTTGTACCAGCAGGATTCTGGAACTCCTTTGCATCCCTGATCTGAGTAAAGGTGTCTGCAGGTGGTGCTTCCTATTTTGCCGGTTAATTGTGTATTTTAGGTTTCATTGGACATGTTTGTGAGAGGAATCTGGGCTTCTCTAGGTCTTAGAAAACTAGATCTAGGAAACTTTAAATTAAAGAATGACTTCCTGACAGTCAGAACTGGCCTGAAGTGGAACTGGCTTCCTCAAGAAGTAGTGGCTTCCCCTCACTAGAGGTCAAACAAAGGTTGGATGGTCTCTTATTGGGGCTTTTGTGCAAAATCTTCCTGTCTGGCCACAAACTAGATGGCCCTTTTAGCTCTCAAAATCTGTGACTCTGAGTATTCCAGTTATTTTTGTTTTAGTTCATCAAAGTTTTATTATAAAATTCCACATAGTATATGTTGTTTTGATTATTAACAAACTTTAAAATCTGAGTGTGAGTGACTGGTAGAAATTTCCAATCAATTCAGTTCAAGTCAACAACATTTACTGAGCACCTGCTGTGCAAGCTTCCTAGAAAGGGACACAGCATGAGGCTACAGATTGGCTACTTCCAACAAAGTAATATCTTAAGTAATAAAACACAGATTCTAACACTCTTAAGGATATAAATTTCAAGATCCTGCATGAAATTCATGATAAGAAAGGGAAAAAATTGAAATTTTTATTTTAGAGTTTATTCTTGGCCCTATAAATCCACTGAAATTGATTCTTTTAATATTTGAAACAGGTCATCTATCTGAGGAGATTCAAGTTTTTACGTTCACTGAACCTTGCTGGGAATCCCATCTGTGAGGAGGAAGATTACAAGTTGTTTGTCACTGCTTATCTTCCTGATCTAGTATACCTGGACTTCAGGCTCATTGATGCACACACGGCAAGTGCCTTTTCCTTTCATTGTTCTCTCTGTGAGAAATAGAGACCAGGACGTTAATCAGTCCTCAAGAAAGAGGTAGCTTTGAGGTCATCTTTCTTAGTTTGCACAGTGCCTGTGTGAAGTAAACCAAAACAAAGCAAAGAGTAAGGGTGGAGGTTGATTACTTAATGCAACTATTTTAATCAAATGAAAACCTTTCTGTTGAATCAGTCAATTGAAGTAATTCTATTAATGTACACTCAGTCATGCCCGGTGTCTTTTGTATAAAATAGCTAGTGAAGAACCCAACCATTCCAGTGTCTTACAGTTTAAAGGAGAGAGTAATTCCATCTAAGCATCCCTGGAGAGGGGTGGTGGGGAAGGAGTAAATCCTCTGTCTCCACTCCTACTCACCCTTACTACCTTAATAAGAAGACAGTTTTATGAACTGTGGAAAACCAGAGGATTTGGACTTCTTGCTGATATACTAGCAGTCTCCTAGGAACAGCAGTGACTGGCAGTGTCTGTCTGCATTGGGTGTGGAGGAAGTTTCTAGACACACTGAAGAAAGGCAGCTTTATGACTCTACAAGGAGCCTACCAAAAGTTATATTGTGCCTGAGGAATACTTAATAAGGGCTGTACAAAGGAGAGAAAATGACTTCCAGGACCTGTGAGAATGTTTTGTTGTTATTATTCAGTCCTTTCAGTCATTTCTGACTTTTTGTGACCCCATTTGGGATTTTCTTGGCAAAGATACTGGAGTGGTTTGCCATTTCCTTCTCCAGCTCATTTTACAGAAGAGGAAACAGAGGCAGACGGGGTCAAGTGACTTGTGTAGGATCACACAGGTAATAAGTGTCTGAGGCCAGATTTGAACTCAGGAAGATGAGTCTTCCTGACTCCAGGCCTCCACTCTATCTACTCAATTATCCAACTCCCTCTGGACCTGTGAGTTACCCCATTTTAACATGTGCTCTAAGCTTTAGCCCAATTTCCTCGGGGCTCTATATGTATTTGTGGGACAGTGTGTCACAGACTTTTGGAGGGATGTTTCATAGCAATTGTTCTTACCTTTTTGCTTTAGTAAGTGCTCTCTTTTTAAGATCTAATTAAATCTGACTGACTAAATGTAATCAACTGATAATCATTGAAGGGAAGCACCCTAGTGGAGGCTCATAAGCTACAGAATTAGAAAGAAAATGCCAGCCCTTCGGGGTTTCCTAGGACTGTGAGGGGAGAAGTAGCTGGGGCTACTTTTCCCGTCCTCCTGCCAGTATTAGTGGGGCTTGGGAGAGTAACCCTAGAGTCTATTGCCACAAAAACAAAAGGCTATTTTGCTTTACTAGCCACAAAGTAGAGCATTCATACCCACCTTCCTCTTTATTTCCTTCCTATAATACCACTCTCATTTTCTCTTTCAGAGACCATGATTAGTTCTTATCAAAGAGTTAGACCCTAGAGACTATCAAGTACAAACCCCTCATTTTATTGGTGAGGAAACTGAGGCCTCAAAGGTTAAATGACTTGTCCAAGGTCACCCAGGGGAACAAAGTGACAGAGCTCAGATTTGGACCAGGGGCCTCTGATTCCAAATCCAGCACTGTGGGTTAGTTTCCCCTTTCTTTATTAAGCAGTGGGATTTTTGCTAAATAAAAACACTTACCTGTTAAGTAGCTAATACTTTAGAATATGTAAATATGGGAAGGGTGTGTGATTTTGTCAGGGTTTGAAAATCAAGGTGTGGGGAAATCAGGGTGTTGAATTGAATTGAATTTTCCTTGCTATTAGTGCTTTCTCCTTTCTAAATAATCATAATCACTTTTAGATTCATGACCTTTTTTCCATCTTCTGTATATATCATTTAAAATTTTCTGAAAAACAGTTCCTACTCTCAAAGAGTTTACATTCTACTGGAGTGGAGGGGGAAACAACATATTAACAATCACTGCCACAACTCTTAATACTTTAGCAACAGGGAATCTTTTCTTCAGTCCGGAGTTTGCATTCTTCTCTGGTGCATAGGGTTGTTGTGCTCCTTGAAGGTGCTTCTTCTGGCTTTCTACATCTATGCTTATCCACAGTGTGTCTTTCTCTGTTCCTGGCAAGATGTGCGGTCCTGTACTTATTCAGTCTCTCTAATAACATGGTCAGTGGGGTGGAATAAGGAGAGAGGAAAAACTCTCTCCACACAAGAACAATTCTCCAAACCGAAGTTCTACCGTAGACTAGGACAGCTGCCTTTTGAGCTTACTACTGGACTGGTTTATTTTTATACATCAGCCTAGAAGTGTGTCTGATTCTTATAGCCAATCACAAAATATTTCCTGTGTGGCATCATCTGTCTTCAATCATGAAAGCACTTTTATCCTCTCAAATTGATTATGCATTTGTTCACACCTAATTTATACTTGTGATTGATTCAATCTAAGTGGCAGACTTTTGTGATTTATTGGGATGGGGGTAGAACTGAACTGGTACACTAGAAAATACAGTTTGTAATTTTAGTAATATAATATAATGCATTGTAATATAAAATAATATAATATAACATAACATAACATAATTTGTATAGTTTGTAATTTACCTCTTACATTTTCCTGTTATTCTTTATCCAAATCACAAGCAAACAGAAAATACATTTTCTGTTTAGAAGTGGTAGTATTTATACTGTTCTTTTACTGGCTAGGTCCTTTACCACACTTAGGAACAAATGGACCACTATAGGGTGAAGATGAGAGTATACTTTGGAAACAAAAGATGAGAAAGAGGCTTTGTTCAAAAAATGATATCTTCATATAAACCAAAAATACTTAAAAAAACCAATAATATCATGGAAACATCAAAGTGCAATTCCCTTTATGAAGTTATTTGTATAATCTTATGACCACATAACAGTTTCAGAAGCCATGTCTTGGAGTGCCACGGGTGCTCTTTTAGACTAGGGCAATATCCAATAATGGAAACCCTTTCTTTTTATTTAACAGAGAGAACTTGGTGATACAAAATATCAGTACAGTATTTATGAACTGAAGCATCGGGAGAATCAGATCCAGATCAAACTTGAAGAGGAGCAGGCAAATATAGCAGAGCTGGAAAAGCACAAGGTACCTTCCCTCTCCTAGTGAGTTTTACTGATGATTCTTAGCCTTTGGGGGAATAAAGTAGCCAAGAGAATGACTTCTACTTTTTCCAGTAAGATGATTTCCTCTGAGGGTCACATTAATTGAAAAAAAAGTGGGACCCATGAAATTTGTATTTTTAGTTGAGAAGAGAAGCCCTTGTATATTTGCATGGTCTCATGGAGCTCCTGACAGGAGCATTCCCACCCCCTTTAGTAAGCTTGCCCACTAGGATTAACTCAGGGTAGTTATGGAATGGAACTTGGAATAATTCTTGGTTGCCATGTTTTCCTTCACAGGCTGCTTACGTTGAATACCTGAATGGTCCTTATCTTTTTGACAGCCTTTATTTAGAGGACATTGAGGCTGCCAAACTAGCTTATTTACCAGGAGTTCCAGAGCTACTGGAGACATATCCTTTTTCTGCTTTAAAAAAAAATACTAACAAATACACACACACAAATCTTCAAGGCTTCATTTCGCTGAGAATCACTGTTCGTACTGTCTAACCTCGATGGATGGAGCTTTGGCAAACTTCTGGGGTTCCCAAATTTAATATTGGTGCAAAGCTGCACATATCTACTAGATTAGTCAAGGCAGCTTTTCACAAGTGTGTTTACATATGCAGTCATGGAAAAATACCAGCTTGAATATGTGTGCTTATCATTTGCAAATAGAAGACAAGTTTAGCACAAGTAGAAAAGTAATTATTTTCTTCTTCATGGTGGAAATAAGAACAAGTTACTTAACTGACAAGCAGAAGGTTAGACTTAGAAAGGACTTCAGGGATGGGACTTAAAATTTTAAGTTCCTGACTCAGAATACCCTAGCTATCTACCTGAATCTGATGGAAGTGTTCAAGCAGAGCAAGGAGGACCACCTATAGGGGATGTTACAGAAAGGATGTCTACAGGATGTGGAAGGTTGGATCAGATCAGTATTTCTCAGAAAGATAATGATGGAAGGTGCATAAATACCAACCTGGTCCCCATTTCTCTGATCCTTGGTTTATACATCAAGGAGAACAATAAGATGCTTTATCGTTGCTGCATTACTACCAATAGCCATGTAAATTTTAGTCCAGTGTAAGCTTAACATAGTGTATTCCTTGATGTATTCATACAAATATAGTGGAATCAAATTAATCAGCAATAGAAAAAGACTTATAAATTATATACTTGCCAATGATATAACTTCTTACAATCCTTCCAGGCCTCCACATCCTGTCCTTCCTCTTAAAATAAAGCCATATAAAATCATTTCAAGGCACTGGAATTGAAATACATAAAATATATGATTATATATACAATGATATATTTTATAGAATTACAGAATTATATAATATAAATAGTAAATATAGTATAATAAATATAATATATAATAATGTAATATATAGTAAAATATATAATTATATATTTTATATAATCCTCTTTTAAAGAGGATTCTGAGGTTAATGCAAGGTTCCTTAACTTTAAATTCACATACAAAACCAAATTCGTTGCAGTTTGCCAGAGCCTATTTGACTATGGCTTGATACAGCAAGAAAAGAGAAAAGCAGAAGTTGCCCTCTTTTATGAATGTCTTGAAGAGGCCCTTCAAGACAATCGAGCACAAGGCTTGAAAACAATTGATGATTTTGAAAAGATACATTCTGAGGTAATTAATTACAACTCGTATGTAGTGAGGTGATTCATGTAACTTTGTTAGATATATAGATGAAGTTAGCGTGATGTCATGGGGAGAACATTGGACCTGAAACTAGAAGATCTGGATTAGGGTTTAGCCAAGATACTTAATAACCATAGAACCATTGACAAGTGATAACCTCTATGACCTTGGTGTTTTTTTTTTCTGATCTGTAGAAGTGGGGATAATTGTACTAATACTTGTTTTACCTGTTTCAGAGCATTGTTGTGATGAAAGTCTTTTAAGTCTCCAAGCTCTATGTATATGTGAGCAGCTGTTATTGCTTATATATAGGTTATGGTGGAATAGTCACTCTCAGAGAGAACTGGGACTAGGGATATATAAGGTAAATAGCCACTTGGGACAAAATCCTGTGTGTCCCAGGAGGAAGAAGGATGGCACACAGACACAGACAACTTTTGAACATTATTTTTTAAAGCAAATGGCCCAATTTTTAATGCCAAAGATTTTCTTCTCAATGACATGTAGGTATTTATTTTGTGAGAAGTCAAGTTCCATATGTTATAGTGAGTGCTCAAACCTTATGGATGAATGGATGAATATAGTGTTTTTTAAGTTCTTACTAGGTGTAGAGTACTGTGTTAAGTAATGGGGATGCAAATAGGAAAGTAAGACTGTCCCCCCTCTCCAGGAGCTCACGTTCTAGTAACCGAGACAAGCCATGTATTGCATGGGGCACATGCACACGGGGCACAATTTTTAAGTCTCACCAAGCTCTTATCCTAGCTAGGTCCACTCCAAAGTCGGTTTTTAAAGAGAATGTTCCCTGGTTTATTTTCTCTTCTTCTTCTTCTTCTTCTTCTTCTTCTTTGATTAGGCAGTGGGGTTAAAGCTAGTAAGTGTCAAGTGTCTGAGGTCGGATTTGAACTCAGGTCCTCCTGAATCCAGGGCCGGTGCTCTATCCACTGTGCCACCTAGCTGCCCCTCCCTGGTTTATTTGCATTGCCTTCTCTTGGGGACAGTTCTCCTCTCAACACCATTCCCCAAGAAGTCTTCTTACTTGTCCTATTTCCGGTGCCTCCCATTCAGTCCATGGTAGTAGGCTGCATTTGTACAGCTGATGATGATTTTCTCATTTGATCCTCACAACAATCCTGTGAGGCAGGCAAGGATAAGGTATTATTCCCAATTTGTAGATGAGGAAATACAAAACTTAAAGAGTGACTTGTTTAAGGTCACACAGTTAGTGTGGATAGAGACTTAGCAAAGGCAGAATTAGAACCTAGGCTCTCTGACTCCTAACCTAGCATTCTTGACATTATGACATGCTGCCTCTACATCAGTACTTAGAGGACAGACAAATCTAATTATAGTCAATCATCACACACTTATTAAGTGTTTACTGTGTGGTAGGAACTGTGCTATGCAATGGGAGATACAAAGACTGAAAGGAAACAGATCTTACCCCCAAGGACATTCTGTTCTATGTGGGGAAGCAACATTGATATAAATAAATTTGTACAAAATAAATAGAAGTTCCATTGAGGAGAGCTGCACTAGCAGCTGGGGGAACAGGAAAGGCTACATGTAGAAGGTGTCAATTCAGCAGAGTTTGAGAGGAAAAAATGGGTTTCAAAACGTAGACTTGAGGTAGGAGTGCATTTCAGGTGGAGGAGACAGGCGCTGTCAAGGCGGAGGAACAGCAGTCAGGTCCATTTGTTTGTACTACAGTGTGCGGGGAGTTAGAAAGGTAGGCTGCACATATTATAAAGCATCTTAAAAGCTCAGAGGAACTTAATATTTGATCCTAGAGGCAATAGGGAGCCATTCAGGTTTATTGAGTAGGATTTTTTATTTTTATTTTTTAAATATAAATTTATTTTTAGTTTTCAACATTTATTTCCACAAGATTTTGAGTTCCAAACTGTCACCCCATCTTGCCCCTCCCCCCACCCCAAGATGGCATGCAATCTGAATACTCCTTCCCCTAGTCTGCCCTCTCTTCTATCTCTCCCCTCCCTTCTCTTATCCCCTTCCCCTTCTGTTTTCCTGTAGAGCAGGATAGACTTCTGTACCTCATTTCTTCTATTTCTTATTTCCCAGCTGCACTTGAAAATATATTTTTTAAACATATGTTTTTAAAACTTTGGGCTCCAAATTTTCTCCCTTCCTCCCTCCCCACCTAGCCTCAATGAAAAGGCAAGCAACTCAATATAGGTTATACATGTGCAGTTATGCAAAACACTTCCTTAGTAGACATGTTGTGAAAAACTAACTCTATTTCCCTTAATCCTATCCTGCCCTCCCATTTATTCTATTCTTTCTTTTGACCCTGTCCCTCCTCAGAAGTATTTGCTTCTGATTACTCCCTTTCCCAATCTGCCCTACTCTCTATCATCCCCCTGCTCTCTTGTCCCCTTCACCCCCTATTTTCCTATAGGGTAAGACAGATTTTCATACTCAATTGAATGTGTATGTTATTCCCTCCTTAAGCCAAATCCTATGAGAATAAGATTCACTCATTCCCTCTCACCTTCCCCTGTTTCCCCTCCACTGTAAGAGCCTTTTCTTTTCTGTTTTTTTTTTGTGAGATAATTTACCCCGTTCTACCTCTCCCTTTCTTCTTCACCTAGTATAATCCTCTCTCATCCCTTAATTTTATTCTCCAGATATGACCCCTTAATCTTCAACTCACCCTGTGCCCTCTATCTGTCTGTCTATCTATCTATCTATCTATCTCTATCTATCTATCTATCTGTCTATCTACATGCATATAATTTTTTACTTCCAACTACCCTAATACTGACAAAGTTCTCATGAGTTATAAATATCTTTCCATGCAGGTATGTAAACAGTTCAACCTTAATAAGTCTCTTATGATTTCTCTTTCCTGTTTACCTCTTCATGTTCCACTTGAGTCTTGTATTTGAAAGTCAGATTTTCTATTCAGTTCTGGTCTTTTCATCAAGAATGCTTGAAAATCCTCTATTTCACTCAATGACTATTTTTTTCCCCTGAAGAATTATACTCAGTTTTGCTGAGTAGGTGATTCTTGGTTGTAATCCTATCTCCTTTGCTCCCTGGAATATTATATTCCATGCCCTGCGGTCCTTTAATGTAGAAGCTATAAATCTTGTGTTAGCCTGATTGTGTTTCCACAATACTTGAATTGTTTCTTTCTGGCTGCTTGCAATATTTTGTCCTTGACCTGAGAACTCTGGAATTTGGCTACAATATTCCTAGGAGTTTTCCTTTGGGGATCTCTTTCAGGAGGAGATCTGTGGATTCTTTCAATTTCTATTTTGCCCTCTGGTTCTAAAATATCAGTGCAGTTTTCCTTGAAAATTTCTTGAAAGATGATGTCTAGGCTCTTTTTTTGATCATGGCTTTCAGATAGTCCAATAATTTTTAAATTCTCTCTCCTGGATCTATTTTCCAGGTCAGTTGTTTTTCCAATGAGATATTTCACATTGTCTTCTATTTTTGCATTCTTTTGGATTTGTTTTACAATGTCTTGATTTCTCATAAAGTCACTAGCTTCCAATTGCTCTATTCTAATTTTTAAGGAAGTATTTTCTTCAGTAATCTTTTGGACTTCCTTTTCCATTTGGCCAATTTTTCTTTTTAGGGCAGTCTTCTCCTCATTGGCTTTTTGGACCTCTTTTGCCATTTGTGTTAGGCTATTTTTTTAAGGTGATCTTTTCTTCAGTATTTTTTTGGGTCTCCTTTAGCAAGCTGTTGACTAGTTTTTCATGATTTTCTTGCATCACTCTTATTTCTCTTCCCAGTTTTTCCTCTACTTCCCTTAGTTGCTTCTCAAAATCCCTTTTGAGCTCTTCCAAGGCCTGGGACTGATTCATATTTTTCTTGGAGGCTTTGGATGTAGGAGCTTTGATTTTGTTGTCTTCTTCTGGTTGTATATTTTGATCTTCTTTTTCACCAAAGTAAGATAATATAGTCGGACTCTTTTTGCGCTGCTTGCTCATGATCCCAGCCAATTACTTGAGTTTTAAACTCTTTGTTAAGGTAAGAGTCTGCTTCCAATGTGGAGAATGTACTGTACCAAGCTTTGGGGGTTTGTACAGCTCTTTTTAGAGATACTTGTAGGGACCTGTAAATTTTCAGTTCTTGCAAGGTGGTATGATAAGGGGTGAGGTGTTTACTCCTTTCCTGGCCTGTGCTCTGGTCTATTAGTGACAACAAGCACTCCTTTCTGTCCTGGAACTGTGAGGAGGGTTTCTTCTTCACAGCCGCTACAAGCTCCACCACGCCAGCGCTACTCCTTGCTGCAGGACCCCCACCCAGAACTGTGACCCAGATCCAAGCATGGGCAAAGCAAGAGATTCCTGCCTCAGCACTGGCAAACAGATCCCTGCAATTCCCTCTGATCAGCCACTGATTTCCCCCTCAGTCTGTGGGCCAGAAGCTCAAGGGGGAGTCCCCGCCCTGGGCCGCGCTCAAGTAATGGAGCTGAGACCCCGCGCTTCTCTCTCAGCACCACAGAAACATACTTTTCCCACTGACCTTCTAAGTTGTGTTTGGCGTTTGTGGGTTGAGAAGTCTGGAAACCGCCACAGCTGCCCGCGATTCAGTCCTCTGAGGCCTGCTCCAGGTTCGCTGCGGCCTGCATGCCCATGCCGCACTGCATTCCTATCCCAGCCCAGCGCAATATGCCTTTCTGATCAATCATCCAGGTTGTTTTGGGCTGTGCTTCACTCTGTCTTTTTGTGGGTTCTGCTGCTTTAGAATTTGTTTAGAGCCATTTTTTATAGGTATTTGGAAGAGTTTAGGGGAGAGCTCAAGCAAATCACTGCTTTCACTCTGCCATCTTGGCTCTGCCCACACCCCCCCCCAGTAAGATTTTTTAAAAGAAGCACATTGAGTGGCTGTTTTAGAGAACCTTGCAGATCCAGAAGCCTAATGGTCATTTATTCTGGACACTCCTTGGAGCCTGCCTAAGGTTCCACTTAGCCTGGCCTTTAATGAACAGAAACCTCCAAAAACATGGA